CTTGATATGAGCATCAGGGGACAGGTCTGGCGTGATATCAACCCCAAGGTCTTTCTCTCTCTCGGACTCTTGAAGTATTTCATCTCCCAAGTGATACGTTGTATCTGGTCTCCTGCTTCCTACCCCTATCTTCATTACATTACATTTGCTTGGATTAAACTCTAACAGCCATTTGTTCGACCATTCCTGCACGTAAATAGGTACAGTAAATAGTACAGAGCAGTAAATAGGTACCTGGGAGTTAGACAGCTGCTACGGGCTGCTTCCTGGGGCTGTGTAACAAAAAGAAGGCCAGGTCGAGGACCGGGCCGTGGGGACGCTAAGCCCCGAAATCTTATAACCTCAAGATAACCATACTCTTAAGTTCAATTCCATCACCATTATCTTAATCATTGCGTTTCTTGGACATCATAATATTATTCTAATGGCTTTATTTTGTACCTTCTCAGAGTTGTTTAACTCTCCTTAACCAAAACAAGAAATGATAGGTGTAGCATAACGAATTAAATATTAATTAAGCCACTCTATCCTTTTGAGACTTTCATTATCTCGATAAGCTTACTTGAACCTGACTGTATTTATACTAATCCTTCCCTAGCCATTTGGGATCGAATTAATGCTTAGTACACAAGCCTTGGGGCAGTGGGAAGTATTAACGCAAATGGGGGTCAAGTGGTTACAGTTTCTACAAGACGGTGAAAATACCCGTCACTTGGGAAACAATGAACAAGGTCACATCAGGGGAGGACGGCTTCACTATGCCTGCATTTTAATCTCTCAAAGAATTATGGGAGGCGGCTCGGGTTGTTCGGGAACTACTTAGTGACCACTTTGCCTTGTATGCTGAATTGTTATGGGGGGGGGGGAAAGCCCACTTCCAAAGGAAAAGATTAAATATTAATATAGACCAGAAAAATGAATTTATTACAAAATATGAAAGATTGGTATCAACAATACACGCCTCTCTGCGTTGGTAGCTTTAACGAGGACACGGTCGAGGACACACATACTGTGAATTAGTAGAGAGGAAACATAACGGTGACAGGGGAAGCAAGACATTTTGCCCGAAACACTATGGAAATGAGTGGCTTTAGGTATAGTATGTACTAGCGCTATCTATAAATCTAACATTATGTTTGTAACTCATCTTCTATGTGAATGAAAACTCACACCCCAGAAGTGACTCGAACCCATACTCCCAGGAGCAACGCAACTGGTAACTACAGGGCGCCTTAATCCACTTGACCATCACGGCCGTCAAAAGGAAGTGATAGCCAAGGCTATTTTAGCCACTTCCCCGACTTTTAGCCACTTGGCTATCACTTCCTTTTGACGGCCGTGATGGTCAAGTGGATTAAGGCGCCCTGTAGTTACCAGTTGCGTTGCTCCTGGGAGTATGGGTTCGAGTCACTTCTGGGGTGTGAGTTTTCATTCGCATATAGTCCTGGGGACCATTCAGGCTTGTTCGCACTTCTATGTATGTACTTTTACCTGATTAAACATTTGGATTTGACATGTGGGGCCCAAGAAATTTAAATATTGTAATGATGAGCAAGTCAAGGGGTGAGGTAAGATGTTACGGAGCGCACACAAAGAATGGTTACATAATGGAACGAGGGAAAGAGAAATACAATACAGTACTGGAAGTGGCTAGGGAATGTAGTCAGGTGAAGGAGGCGGCGCGGGGTAACACATGAGCCAATGCATGATAATATTTTAGACTTAGTGCTAACCAACAGGAAAATGCTAATTAATTACATCAAAATAGGGAGTGAGCTAGAGGGGACAGTGATCATAAAGAAATCAGATTTAGCATTGAAGTGAATAGATTTAAAGGAGAAAATTCAAAATGCCACATTTTAGAAAAACCGATTTTAATAGCCTAAGAAATATTTGGACGAAATAAATTGGAAAGTCTTGGGCATTGGGGGGGGGGAGGCTAGTCTTGGAGGAAGACGTGATCCCAGCGATGAGTGATGTAAAAGGGTATTTCGATGTGGATTCAAAATATAACTTATTTAAAAATATTCTAACCAAAGCACAGGTACGTAGTTTACCATACAAATTGAATAGCTCGAATAATAATGACCCGAAATGTATAACAAAGGATCTGAAGAACCTTATAGGTAGAAAGCGTGGTACAAAAGGGTTAAGAATGGTTGAGTCAGTTTAGAACAAGAATTCGAACAACTCGTTATAAATGTTAAAAAAAAAAGAGATAAGGAGGGCAAAAAGAAACTATGAAGTTCGCATAGCAGGGCAAGCAAAAACAAATCCTGTTTTTTTTTCAGTTATATCGAACAAAAATTAGGGAAAAGATAGGTCCATTAAAAACTGAGACAGGTCTGATAACTGATAATGACGAAGAGATGAGTAGTATTTTATCTCTATATTTACTAAAGAGGAACTTAACATTATGCTTTCAGCAGAACAAGTCTATGTGGGTGGGGAACTTGTAATTGCTAAACAAGTTTAGCAATTACAAGGGTGGATGTTATTA